ATTGCGCAGCGACAAAGTTTCCGACAAATACGTTGCAGGAAGTATTGTGGAGCCGAAAAAGTAGGCATAGAGTTAGATGTTCTTTCTTCTTTTTACTACATCTTGGATGTTGAAAGCTTTCCAAGTTGCTCAACTCAGGAGCTAAGTCGTCTATCATGTTGACTTCCTGACCTATAACTGGAGCATTCGGAGATATTCGTTCCGCTGATCGTGAATAGGGCATGCGAAACCAATCCGTTCTTCATCAACATCGTTTTCGTGAGATTTAGTCGGAGGCCAAATCTTCCACAGGCTTTATCATAGTCGTCAAGCATACGTTCCGCTTTGCTAATGTTTGTTGTTATAAGGACGATGTTATCAGCAAAGCGAAGATGGTGTAACTGCCTACCGTCGATTTTCACTACCATGTTATCCCATTCCAATGTTCGCATGACGTTGTGGAGGGTGGCGGTAAATAATTTTGGCGAGATGGTATCGCCTTGCCTAACTCCTGTCAATGTTAATATCGTTGCAGAATGGTGATATCTTGGTTGTGAAATTTTTGTACAACTCACGAAGAATCTTTATGTACTGAGTAGGCACTCCTTGACTATCAAGGGCTTCCAAGACTGCTTCGATCTCGACTGAATCAAAGGCCTTCTGTAAATCGATGAAAGTGAGACAGAGCGGCCTTTTGTATTCTCGCGATACTTCAATAGGCCGTGTTACCGCGTGGATGTGGTCCATCATACTAAATCCTCTTCGAAACCCTGCTTGCTCACATGGCTGTCCTTCGTCTAGTGTTCTGTCAATCTTGTTTAAGATGATTCGAGTGAAAAGTTTGTAGACGACAGACAGTAAGCAGATTAGGCGATAGTTGCCGATAACGTGTAGGTCACCCTTTTTAGAACATTAACGCTGTCTTGCTAGTCTTCCATGGAGTTGGGACCTTGCATTCAGAGAGATAACGTATGAAGAGCCAAGCCAGTGTGTTTACGAAGACTGGTGGAAGGTTTTTCAGGTGTTTTGGTCTTATCCTGTCCGGACCTCGTTCTGTTCGATTTTCCACCGACAAAATGGCATGTGGGATTTTGGAAGGGAGAACCGGTGGTGCGACATATCCGTCCACCTTTATTTCATAAGACGGAAGGTGGACGTGGCTGCTGAAGAGATCTGAGTAGTATTCGTGAATAACTTTCTCCACTGCCTTTCTGGATGCCGTAACTGCTCCGGCTGGTCGTCAGAGTGCAATCATCTTGGTTTTATAATTGACGAAGACTCAGTGTGCTTTGCGAATGCTTTTCCCAGCCTCTGCAGCCTCGACCATAATTGCTGCTCTTCCTTCTTTAAGATTGTCTTTTATTTCTATGTTCTTATGAGCTGATCTTGTAGAGCTGATGCGAGGTTAGTACACATTGTCATTGTCGTTGTTATTGTTGGTCGATGAATGTCGTTTCGGCGATTTCGCCTTCCTCAGAGCCCTTCTGCCACGAGTGCTACCTTTGTTTAGTTGAAAACACATTTCATTTTGTGTGCACCGCTATAAAGTGCGTAGTAATTTTATTCTAATGCTCAGCATCAGATCTTCTTTTAGAATTTTTTAAAGATTTCAGCATCATAGCGGTAATACTTGCAGTCGTTTGCAAATGTGGAATAAAACATTTTAATGGTACAGCTCGCCTTTTAAGAAGTGTCTACTATAAAAAATGATAAAGGATAAAGCTCTCGGCGCTGATCGATCCCTGAGGGATGCGTCAAGCGTTCGACCTCATTAAGCATGGTTTGGAGGCGATTGAATGCACACTTCGCCTTTACAATAATTCGAGGTGGCCTACCGATGTATCGAGACAGTGCTGCTATCCTTCCAGACAACCCTGGTACCGATTTGCCGACACCGGAGAGATAGAAGGAAAAGGCATGGCTGGCCATGGCGCAAGGATCGATTCCGTGTGGGTGTTGTAGGGCGCCTCAGACCACTGCTCCACACACGCCCTTGTATGAAAAGCAAAACATATTGTCGGCATCATCTACTGCTGCTACGATTAGAAAGAAAACGTTTCTAAATCGCTAATGCTTACTTCACTTTCTAATTATCAATAAAAAAACTTTTTGTGTTAATGACTCGAAAGCATTTTTTCAGAGAGCGATTTGTTTCGACTTCACGCTTTTATTTGTGGCAACTGGTCGCCTTGCAGGGATAAGTGCTGGTCCATTCCTACTGTTAACATACAGTGCTACATTCGTTTCTTCAATCTTATTGGCTACAAACAATTTTCTTTATAAATATTTTCAACTATGCAAGTAAGTCTTACACTTCCATAAATCAATTATTCCATGAAAGACTGACTAAAAACCGAGAACAAAAATCAATCTGGTGCATTTTTTCACTTCCATGTTAAACCCTGCCTTTACCTTAATGCCACTGAAATAAATCCTTTAACTTCGCTCTATCAATATTTACTTATGGCAGAAAAAAACTTACAAAGTGTCAAAAAATGGTTCCATAAGGAAATTGACTCCTTTGAATGAAGAGAAAATTTCGGTCGTACGTTCGATAAGCCTACAATGAATAAAATGTTAACGAATAGTGAATGCATCGATTTTTGTGGATGTATCCCTCTTGCAGCAGTACTTCTGGCATAAATAGTAGTGGTGCGATAAAATCAGCATGTATGACTTAACATTTTTTCTTAAGAAAACGTTTGCGATTGGATACAACTAGCCTTGTTCTTTCCTGCCAAATATCATAACAAGCGACTTTCTAGAGATTTAGTTTATTGGTTATTGCGAGGGCTAAGAGAAATTCGACACAGGAGATTACTAATTTCTAGTGTTTTAAATTAATAATTGATTGGATTTTGATCTTTTAAGGCGGTCATCTCTACACGTCTACACATCTAAATGGATCATTCTGGTCATCGTAGTAAATTTTGCTCTGATTACGAATTGGCTGCTGATGAATGTACTCTGTGGCTGGCCGTCTAAAGAATTTATAGCTATGGTCAGAGATTATGCGTTAGCGTCATATCAATTCGAGTTAATCAATTCCACTTTTATGGGCATTTCGATGAAAGTGGGTTTTTGTTCGAGTTTTGTTCCTTTTTCATACTTAATTACCTGAAGGATAGATAACAAAGGGTGACTGTAGCGCAGTGGTTAGATGTCCCTGTTAATGCACCTTGGATCCGTAGAGAGTGCGATTACACGCGGTGAATAAATCGATCCCTCCAACGCTCCTTGGTCGCTATTTGGCCAACAGACTTGTCTGAGACATTAGTTCATCGCAAGTCATCTCTATTGTCAAGATATGAATTCAACCACCTTTACGATGCTGCGAATGGAGTCGAATGTATGACGAATCCATCAAAGAGTAAATAACCCCAGTCTCTTCACACCTTGCCTTTTTGGAGAAGGGGATCTAAAGTGGAAGGAAGAGTGTGTCACCATCAAAAGAGGAGAGGATAGGATTTTTGGCCTTTCTCGAGGCGTAAGAGGAATTTTGCTGCGAGCGACTTCTATCATAGAAATGAAGCACATAGACAGGTAGAACACCGCGAAATCTGGGACATTGTTCGTCATTATTGAGTGAAATGATAGAAATTGCAAGGTTGCTTTGACAACGCTTCCGTCGTATGTCGTTGATCTGCAGAGCGACGTGTTTAGTCTTTATAAGAACCGACACCTTCAGTTCATGGCGATGTACCGTATTGGCATCCATATGAAGTGCCATTTGATTAGAACTATGAAGTTTATTAGAATCCATAGCCTATGTTAAGATTATCGAATTTGTTGAGCGTTTCAACGATCTCTAGCGGAAGGAGACCTAATGGCAGCTTTAATCACTTCAGGGTGTTCCGTTGAGGGAGCATTCTTATAAACGACGTCAATCACTGTTTTCATCACTGACAGTTGATAAGGTTTTTCCTTTAATTCTGTCCCTTGATTTCTACGGAGGAAATTACATAGAAATGTTTCGTTTATAATGTGGCAATCTGGTTAATTCATTACTTAGGCACCAGGGAAAATTTTTCTGCCCAAACATCATCGCATTGGAGCCTGTAGCGCAGTAGTTAGAGTTGCCATGTAATACATATGTGGTTATGGGCTTGATTCCACACCCGTTGTTCATCAAGTCGTCCACTATTCAGGATCAAAATATTGTTAGGATGCTTGTTTGAGAGGATAGCAGCACTTCCTTGATACATCGCTAGGCCCCCGCATTCCATTTTATAGGTCGAATATACGAATATGCAAATAATATTGCAAATTGTCCTTAAGATGTTACGAATGAGGTTCAGTGAATGGGACAGCCCTTACGTTGATAGAGCACTCATCCTTTATCTTTTATATATAGATTCAGGCTAGGCATACTATTACGATAAACACAGGTACAAGGTACAAGTCTTTTGCTTAAAACTAGAGTGAAATTTCAGCTTATTCCAATGCCATCGATGTTCTCACTTCTGGTCGAATCATTATTGATGGTACTCGTGGTTGGCTTTATTTCACTACTATGCGCAATAAAAATTCATTTCTATCTCAAGTACCACTCAATGAGTGCCAAAACGAAACAAATGCACCGAAAAACGTTGTTGTTATTATCACTACAGGTATGTTCCTTTCGAAATTATGAAAAAAAATCGTTGTAAACTATTGGGTCTATGTGGACTTTTTAGTTATTGCCTTTCACAAGTTTTCGCGGTAGGGTAGTATTTGTGAAACAACCACAATGATGCTGAGATATTTGCAAAACTCCGGACCGCATGTGTCTGCGGTGGAGAACGATAATATGAATTGCTCTGTGAAATATAATCGCTATGATGCTGAGGCACTTGCAAAACTTGAACCCTGGCTAGCTTACCCGCGACTACCCTTTCCACGAACTCACCTGTTATCCACTGCACCACTGAGGGCTTTACTTTGCTTTGTCTTTTTCCCAGTGAGTTGTTTTTACCCTAACGGTGCCATCAGTAATCACCCGTCAACAGGAATGATCTGCCCAGCACAAATCGGCACTGGACTCAGTTAAGCTGGGGCTGTTGTTCGGTAATGAAAAAATGTCTTTTAAAAAGTGTTTCATTCAGCTTTCAGTCAAGAGTTTGATACCACTCCATTCAATGAAAGTTTAAGAACAGTATTCGTGGTGGCAGATTACTACAAACACTAGCCCCGTATTTGTAGACTTGCGAGATGTTTTATCTCTTTACTAGTGCAATCTGAAGATAGTGAACCGATTAGACATATCTTATCGTTACGAGAAGATTTCATTCACCTGGAAACATATATGCTCTCTGTTCAATAAAATAATTGCTCCATATGGCCATTGTTCAGCTTTTTTTCGTATTTCGATGAAGTTTACGTGCTAGAATGTTACATCCCATCAAGTATTACTGTTAGGTAGTTGAAGCGTTGTCGGATCAAAAGAAGGAAGCAAAAAAAATTTTAACTTACTATTTACTGCCTACTCTTTTTAACGGCAGGGTATACATTGTGAAATATAACTTCGATGATGCTGAGATATTTGCAAAACTCTGGACCGCAGGTGTCTGCGGTGGGGAACGAACGCGGTATTGTCCTTTCCGAGGAGTAAGGCGTTCACCACCACACGATGCGGGTCCTTTGTTTCGCCTGTCTCTCAGCCAGTTCTATCGATCTTTTACCGTCAGCAGTGACCCGTCAACGGGATTGATCTGGGGAGCCCAAATCGGCAACGAACCCAGTTAAGGTGAGGCTGCAGTTATAATGACAATTTTAACTTATTTACTGCTTACTCGTTTTAACGGCGGAGTAAATTGCGAAAAAAACAGTTGCGAAATTTGTTGCACTTTTTCTAAATGTTCAATTATAATCTTTCGGTCCGTCATCTCTTCCACAAGTAGCGCTCAAATTGCGTTTTTCCATCTGGTCAAGAACATCTTTATGAATTTTGCAAATGGTCGCCTTCTGGAGTCACCTAGCCTCTTTCAATGCAGTAGTTTTCAGACTGCATGCCCATTCCTTCTTCTACATATTCCTCTCTACACGATGTACCTGCTACTTTTTACCGGCATCACCAGTTCAAAGTTAATCAACGATGTGATCGGCACCTTAATGTCACTGTTCCCGTTTATTTCTCCTTTGCTAACACTAATTTTCACGGATGATTACCGAAATTTTGTTCTGATGAAGTTCTTTGTGAAAATAGGTAACCAAAAAGAAACAACGATGACTATTTTAAAATCAAATTGTGTTGGTAAAGTAAACCCCCAACCTCATAATTATGTTAGAAGAATCTCTCATTCGTAATTATGATGGTGATGGTGGTGAAGATGATGAGGATGAGGATAAGATGATGATGATGAAGGTGCTCTTCCTGTGTTGCATTGTGCTTGTAACCCTCATACTTAAAATGAAGAAATTTTTTACTTAACTTAGAATTGATGATGTTCACTTCACGTTCAATTGACATAAAGAGTCAAGATGAGCTGTACATTTTTAATAATCTAACAGAAGATAAACCTACTTGTTGAGACGTTTTTGTTTTATAGCAATTACTGCCGTTTATAACTTCAATGGTTCTGAGTCGACAGTGTTCAGTAATTCTTATTTGGTTGCTCACTATATATGGTCTGTCCGAATTAACTTGCTACATCATCCATACGTCTGGTTCATGTAATCAGAGATGAGCCTTATATGGACAGACACGAAAACGCCGGGTATCTAGTTATCTATGGAAGTTTACATTTTGTCGTCACATGTTTCATGAACATCGGCACCTCTACTCACTTGGCTTTCCTGTCGGCAGATAGCCAATGTAGATACGTGGTTGGGTTGGTGCGTGGGACCACCTCCTAGGCCTCCGCCAGAGGTAGGTACCGACCGTCGTGCATCGGCTAGTAACTGGCGAATAATATTCTTTTGAAACCATAACTCTCCATTAACGGCAGCGTTCCCTTTAATGGGTGGACGAACGCACACGATCTGAGAGGCCGAATTCTAATACCACGACTTCTTTCAAACAAAGCTAGAATAGCGAACATTTCTAGTATGACTAGCATGAATTTAGCACGCTACCTTGATCAAGTGCGTGTGATTCACTATAAACTGCTAAACTCATCAGAAGAGCTTCGTGATTGATTCACTATAAAAATGCCACTTTTCGATTAGATTAGATAATGTGCTTCTTAAGATGAAGGTTAATGACAGAAAACGGTTAATCTGCAACTCTAAGCCTCTTTCCTACAAACATTTAACCAGCGTTATGAAACAACCATGATGAGTAACAGCCGTGGCCAGCGCGCGGTACCTGAAAACAAAAGCTGCACAGAAGCTAACTCATCACGAAAATACAATTATACCATTGCAGGTTCGAAGCTATTATTGTGAAGTCAAATAAAAGCATCAAGTCGTAGGAGATCTTTGGCAAGCGCTCTTAGTCAACTATCGATTTTTTAGATAGCTGCCTTAGGGTGGGGATGAGGAACGGGTTGAAATAGCGTACACTACACGCGGTACGATTTCCATTTCGATCCACTTAAGCGTCCAGTTTCTTTGAATTGTCGGTAAAATGGTAGCAACGTGGTGAAGACGTAGGAATGCTCCAGCTGGGGAATTCCAGCATTCCAGGAAAACCAACTCGATTAGCATTTACCGATTTTCATGAAGATAAAATTCAAAGTAGTATATATGAAATCACGCGGAAGTCTGAACGCCTGAGAAAGTGCTGAGAGTGGCACAGTGTGTGAGCTCGGTATATAGATAAAGGTACAGAGAATTCTTGATCGCCTTTGAGTCATATTGAGTATGCCTTCCACTAATAGGAGTCCACTACCTCTGGACTTGAACAGTGTATCTCCAAGCTTCACAGGATAGCACCAGCTGGGCACGCCTTTGCAACGAAGGGCGTCCAGCGATGCTCATGGGCTTTCAAATTTCAGGGCAAATAACTGGTCTAAAAATGCGACATAGTTTTATCTTTTAAAAAAAAAACCTGCGAAAATTACTTCAGAAAAATATTCAGGGGTATTGGTAAGTTACAAATACTTTAAAATAAGAACTTGCTTTTAAGCCAACCTGTGAAGACATTCGGAAAGTGATGGCTCTGCAGCACTGCTTTCTACGACGTATTCTCAGTGGGGTGATAAAGCATCCATTTTTAGAACTTCTCTCAACCTACAAAACAATTTTAGGTCCTGAGAGCTATTTGGTTCCAAAATGCAAATTTTAAGTGGCCAACTTGTTGCACAAATAGAGATCTACGAATGCCTTGAAAAAATTTCCCCGATAGCAAACGATGAGCATTCAGCTTGTTTCATGTGCTGGAAAAATTCTTGTACATTGTGGAATGATCTCTAGACCATTAAATTAGGTGTTTCTTCATCTCGTAGAGTTTTGCTCACATTTGCATCTGCTTCTGCTAATCTGCGTTTCAATCCTCTCATTTATGCGTAATATTTTCCGGGCAGTCTGAGGATTGAGCAGCATGGGGACACCTTTGGAAGGGCCACCAAGTGCTGAATCGTGAAGTCATACATGCGCATTGTTCCATAAGGAGTTAGAAGATGGTTTGCATAGCGGAGTCATTCAACACATTTCTATAAAGGGCGGTAAGGTCGAAGGATTCCATCACACATGTGCTTTTAAGATGCGCGCTACTTAGACAATCCAGGAGTGCTCATAAGGTGGGTTGGAAAGTGTTTCAACAATTGGGTGAGTATTAGGATTAAAAACCACGTTGTTATCTACTTTGTCCATCTTCATGGCTTATGATGCTTCTAACCAACCGTGAAGAATGATGGATCGGTAGACGCAAGATCATCAGTGGTTACTAACATGATAGTCTTGGTAAGTGAATATAAGGCGGAATATGTTGGTAGTTCAATTTTATGGGAGTTTCCCCTGAAAATATTCGAAAATTGGTGTCTACATCGTTGGGACCTTGCTGTTTAACGAAATGAAAAGTAGGTGTTGGTAATGCCTCCACTTTTCGTTCTCCGTTCCTGTATAACGTTTCTAGGTATACTACCCCACACAAGGTTTTCTTAGATATGGATTGCGCCGTTGAGCAAGCTGGACCCAATTCCAATAGCGAGCGACCGCCGTCAGAGAGGGTCGTGTCTCCTAACACCGTGACTCATGATTTTTCTGGCACACTATGGATCCTAGTTTTATTCTTACGACATTTGTAAACGGTGTCTTCTCACATTAAAACATAAGCTTTAAATACTATGTGAGATCACGAGTGACAACGAGTTGTTCCTCTCTGTTGTTCACTTTCGGTTTCTTAGAATTTATCCAGAATGATTCGGGAGTTTTGCGTGCTAAAGTCTTCGATTCTTGGACAAGGATGGTAATTTCTACCTTAAAATCTTCTTTATGTCACTGTATCGTATATAACCTTAGTAAAGTATGGTTTAACTTTAAGCTTACCGATGAGGTGTTCTTTTATAGGGAGGCAAAGTAGTCTACCTCTTTAGCCAACGTGTTCGTTCCTGCACACTTCATAAGAGATCAGATAAACCGTATTCGAACTCCTGCAACCAGATCCTCCAGCGTTAGCACATGTTGTGCAATTCTGTCCAACACACAGATGGTTACAAGGGAGCTAGGCACTAGATGGTTTATTTCAGTGTTCGATGGTATTTCAGTTATTGTCACCGAATTCACTAGGCCGGTCTTTTTCAAACAATGTTTCATAGCCGCAGTTATTTCATTTGAATTGAGGGGCAGGATAAGCGGGACTTTATTATCACTAGAAGGCGCTTGAGTTTTTCTACACATTTAGCCAAAGGGGCTACACTTTTGTAGCCACTGGAAATGGCTATTTGCCGCGCCAACTTCCGGGATTTCTGCTCCAGCTGTCTTTCTGTGCACACGTCGGTGGCTATTCGAAACATGTATCGCACAAACGCCCTTTTTGCGTGAGAGGGGGGAGAAGAGATGTAATGAGCCAGTGTGTTTTTACTACTTAGTTCTCGGTATCATTTCGTGATGCAGTCCTTTTTGGAATAGGTTAATTTGAACGTTCAGTGGTGGAAGCCAGTTTCCCTTCGGTTTCTCCCAGGTAAACTTAATATATTATAAATGTTATTCAATGGCTCAAAACACTTTTTCATTACTTTATGCGTTGAGCAAATGATAAAAGAATCATATATATATATATATATATATATATATATATATATATATATATATCCACGGACCTCCCTCATATGAGGGATCTCGAGCCGATTAGTCGCGAGGCAACGTGGCGCGTCCCCAGGTGGCCGATAGGGGGTCAATCGCGGACCAAAAGCGACCTTTGCTTCTCTGAGGCGCAGTTGGATCCAGGGGATGGACTCCCTGTTTCTGCTGCGCTGATTTGGCACATGCTTTCTGTATTTGCTAGGCGTATTAATGCATGCGTGTGTGGTTGCGTTCTCGTTTATGCGGATTGTAGCCTACGAGTCCATTCGTCCAAAAGCCTGCAGTCAAGTAACTGGGAAGTATATGCGAGGCGGTTAAGAGTGGCCTCCAACAAATAAGCTCCTGTCCACTCTGGGAGTGCCTGGCAAGCTAACCGTGAGTATACCCAGCCCCCACGTTCAGAGCCCAGCAAGCTATACGTGGGTAACAAACAATGCTAAACACAGTAAAAAAAAGCCTCATTCACCTGACCTCGAAAGAGCCTCCAATTTCGCAGCGTTGGTTAGACGAGTATGGGGAGGCTGCTAAAATCTCAGGGCCAATGAAAGCTGCCTGGATTACAATGAACTATGGTGACGATCTGCACCTACATTGCACGTACACTTGCATCCGAGTCCTCGATAGGAGAGTTGCTCATGCAAACAAGAAGGATAAGGTACGACGTCATCGACCTGGCTGAGACGAGAAGATGCCAGCCTTTCAGCGCCGTCAATGACACCGGAGAAGAACTGTTCCTCGGAACATGCGACAGTAGAGGAGTCGGCGGCGTCGGCGTTCTCGCCAACACGAGTTTGCCCATGAACATTGATTCATTCGAATAACTTACAACCCAAATCGGACGTTTACGATTAAGAAAACGTGGATCAATTTCGGCTTTGACAATCTTCGTCGTTTACGCGCCGACATCAAACTATGACGAAGAAGAAGTCGAAGCGTTCTATATGAACTTGGAGAAGCTCTACAGAGATCATACATTCTTCAGGGTCATCATTGGAGATTTTACCGCCAAGATTGGACCAAGAAGAACGCATGAAGAACGTCACATTAAAACCCACGAATTAGAATGAAGCGAACAGAGTGAGCGGCTGCCTGAGTTTATCATGGCGAACAAGACAATCCATGGTAGCTCGCAATTCCAGAAGCCCCACCCTCAGCGCTGGACGTGGGAGTCTCGCGATGGAGAGTACCATAACGAAATAGACCACATCATAGCAAATAGAAGGTTTTGCCTAACCGATGTGACTGCTGTCCTAAAATTCTACACGGGATCAGACCACTGTCTCCTTCGTGCAAGATTCTATTCCTCGCGGAAAGGAGAAAAAGCCACCAAATTCCAAAACCGAACTCCCAGAACCACCTCAAAGCGGGACTTATTCAATTCATTAGTCGGTTGCTGGGAAGATGTCGTTTTCAATAACATCGTCGAAGAATACGATCGGCTCATTCAACATTTTCACGTTAGCGCTATGAAAGCTGACAGTTCGAAAGTGACCAAGAGACATTTGTCTCCAGAAACACCCGAGCTGATACGCCAGCGTGGAATCGCACGAGCTGCAAGCAACCGCGAACTAACGTCCGAACTTGCAGAAGAATGGAGACAGGCGAGAAAAGATGATGTTAAAGAGAGAAGAGCAGCAGTAATGGTCGACTTCGCAGAGGCTGGGAAAAGCATTCTCAAAGCCCACCGAAGCTTCGCTAATTACAAGACCAAGATGACTGCACTCCGACGACCAGCCG